ATATTTAGTTTTATATTAATATAATTTATTTTTAAAGATAAATTTAAAGAAAAATATATCGATATACTACCTCCGTACCGGAAAAACAGTAACGTTTATTTTTTGCTCGTAGATTTTTTAATATTAGTATTATATTGGTTTATAGTGAAAAGGACAAAAATGCCCATATTAGATTGTGTGATATAAAATAATGATATTTGTTTAATATATTGAAAGTTGTGAGGATATTAATTATGTTAGGTAGGTAGTATAATTACTAAATAAGAAAATGATATATTTGTTTTGGGACAGACAAAAATGAAAAATGATATCCTTTTATGGATCGGAGGGAGTATACATACCATTTTATAAAGAATAAAATTATGTATAATACAAAAATAAAAAAATAAAAAAATTTTTTTTTTTATAAATAAATACAAGATTGTATGCAATCAACATATGTAATAAAAATATACAATATATATTTATATATAACACAATATGTTTTTCAACTCTTGTACAATCAGCTGTAGAACCAAAACTCACTCGAATAAAGGGGGAGCTAATTTTTATTTATTTTCAAAAATTCAATATATCGGAAAATCGGTAGGATAAATATATATATTGATACCATACCGAAATTTTGATATAATATCTCGATATATACTATTTTATATCAAAACACTACTAGAAAAAAGGTTGATAATTACGGAAATTTGTCGCAAATTTTAATCTGTGACAATTAAAAGTCACGGAAAGTAATTTCGTGACAAATTTATGTCACAACTTTTTGTTTTGACTATTCCGTAAATAATATTTGCTGAAAAAGCTACAAATAACTTTCCGTGACTATTTAAAGTAACGGCTTGTGTAACGAAAATGTCCAAGATATTTCTATTCCGTGTCTTTTGATTATTTCGTCACAAAAATTGTCACGAAATTTTTTCTTGACTATTTTAAGTTGCGGCAAAAATAACCAAAATATTTCTAACAATTTAAATTATTACAGATATTGTCATAGTATAATTTTTGTGACTTTTTAAAATCAAATTTCACAACATAAGTAACGAAAATAACTATAAATTTTTCTTATTATTGTTTGTAGCTATTCAAAATAATAAAATCATCTTCAATATCTTTATTCAATATTGTTCGTAGCTATTCAATTTTTTGTTAAAAATTCATGATGATATATTAAATAAACATGTATATATTTTTAAAAGATAAATTTATAATCAATAATATTTTTATAGTTAAAATATAATAACAAACAAAAAGTAATACATTAGAGTAGATAGTTAAGTTGGCATGACAGGTTGTGTAAGTTTTTAATAACTATAAGGTCACTAGTTCAAAACCCTTCTTGTCACAGAAATAACTAATTTTCTGGTAGTGAAATACTAAAATTTAAAATAATAATTTTGGCATCAGAAATTTTAATATATTACAATATTTAATATAAAAAAAATTTTATATACCAAATTTGTATATATATTTACTATATATTATTTGAAAATTATATAAATTATAATAAAAAATAAAAAATCAAGGGGGGAGGGCGGGGGGCCCTTGCCCCACATAGCATTTTTAAAGTACATAACTAATTCTTCCAAATGTACTGTTCTTTAATTGGCCTCTGAACCTTGAATGGGCTTTAAGGCTTTCAGGCCTCTAAGGCCTTTGCTTTTTGAAGGCCTATAATTTTTGTGGTTAGGGCTTTTATTTATTTATTTTATATTTTATATTAATATAATATAAAAATATTATACATGAATTAACAATATATGATATAAATTCACACGTCACATGCAAATGTTAATTTTAGCCTATGATATAATCTTATATAGTTATAAACACACAATATGTGACATGCATAATAAAAATATATGTTATTTGTATATTTCATGTGTACTGATTTAAGAATTTAGTATGATGCTATAAATATTTCTTGATAATAATTATTATTGTTAGCCTAAACACTTAATCATAAATACACATTTTTTTTTTCTTAAAAAATTTATGAAATAAATAATTAATATCAATACTCGAATAATATATAAAGCCTTTCTTGGGTTGGCTTCAGAAATTATCATGACAAAATGTTTCTTCTTGAGAAAGCCACTAAACTCACTCTATCTCTCTCATTAGGTTGGTGAATATAGCTAATCAGTATATAAGACACTTCTCTTTTTACTCGATTCATTAAATTTATGACATTATTAATTTTGACAAAATCAATAAATCAATATTTAATTATTACTTAACACTTATTTACAACAAATACCACTAACTTTATTACATTATCTCTCTTCATTTACTTTACTTTTTAACTAAATTTCTAAAAATACCATCAACTACATATCACATTTTCAATAAAATATTCATTTTTCTTAATTCCCGTGCCGAGTCCAAATGGACTAATTTTAATGGACGGAGGGAGTATTAACTGATAATATATGATACATGCGATCATCATTGATCACATTATAATTAAGCAGGATCATTTCTAACTTTTTTGGGGCCCTGAACAAAAATATATTTTAGGCTCTATAAATATACGGTTAAATATATTTTCAAAATAATATCACAAATGCTGACGTGGGCGGGATAAAAAGTTGATGACGGCGGTCTGACAGTGTCGATTCGGGAGAAGAAGATGAAAGAAGGACCGACTGCGTTTCACAGTGGTGTCGGGAAATTTGAAAAGCGAGAGAGCCTGAGGGAAGAAGAAAGAGATAAAGAGGCGAATTTGGTCTGGGTGGATGGCGCAGCGCGGTGAAATCGTGAAGGGGAGAGATTTAGCTACCATTAGATTTGGGAAGATGAGGTGCAACATGGTTAGGAAGAAAATATTGGAAAAATATATAATTAGAATTTAAAATTTAACTTTAAAATTAAAATTGAATTGAATAATTCAGAAGAAAAAAAAAAACTATAATTTATAATTTAATTTTAAAATTTAAAATGTAATAATAATAATGAAATAATATTTTTAAATATGGATCCTTCTTAGTTAGAAGTCCTGAGCAGTTGCTCAACCTACTCCCGCTAAAAGCTGTCTGTATAATTAAGGTGCATATCATATAATACAAATATAAAGTATGAGCAGACAATATATCGTAATAATCTAAATAACATATGTTATGATTGATTTCAACACAAACATATATATTAATACATTACAAATATATGGTATGAACATGAGGCGAAACCAAAATTTGGTTTAAGGAAAACTTTTTTTTTTTTTTTTTTTTTTTTTTTTTTTTAATTTTAACAATAGTTCAATTGATTTAATATCAAGAGATAATTTTATTCTTCAAGTGTCGTATTTAAAAAAATATTATAAAATAACAAAATACAACATAAACAATTACATATATATTATTTATTTTTGTATTATTTAAAGTCGATAAGCAATATAATTTTTTATTACAAAAATCACAAAGATTGTGTTCATTTGTGAGTTTTTTCACAGATTTTTAATATGCAGATTCTTTTTTTCTTTTAAAAATATCACATCAAATAATAATTATTATTATTTTTATATTATAATACAAATTTATTTACATTCAAAATATCACATTAATCTTTATTTATATGATATCAATCAACTATTCAAATTCAATTTTTTTTTTTTAATTAAAAATTCAAACCCAAAAACTAAAAGCTATGTACAAACACACGAATAAAAATTAACTCTAAATAGTACCCTAACTACCTCACATGGATATGTACGTACAAATGGATAGGCCAACATAATTATATATAAATCAAGCATCGAAATCCCCACTTTCTTGGAGTCTTTAGGTAATATATATATATATATATATATTTAGAAAAATTTAAATGTTTATTAATATTATTATTAGTATTATTTATAATATAGTATATAGAAATGATGCATATATGAAGACAAAATCCCAATTAATGAACAAAAAATGTCTCAGTTGAGACAAAGTTTTACAGATTGCAAAGCACTTAGCCATATATCATCACTATTCTATATTTCTATATATGAACAACTGATACTAATCAGGTGCTATGTCTCTCTTTGCATTTATGTGTGTGGCCCTTACTACTACCACATATATATATATATATATTCTTTATCTTGATTTTAAATTTAAATTAATATTATTTACTTTATGCGGCTCTTAATAAAAATATATTATTTTTTTCTTATGAAATATTATATCAAAATACTATTTATCAATGTTAGTTTTAGATTATTAGGTTCGATCGAGAGTTTATCTCGAAGAGTAGCAGCTAAGTTCCTATGTCATTAAAAAAAATAAATAAAATGGCATCAATAATTGATTTGAAATCGATTTAAAACAACTAAACAAACACATATTCTTAGTTGATTTTTCACATACTATTTACATGCAACATTAATATATGTATATCATATATAATTAATTGAAATATATTAATATGGTGTTGAACCTAGCTAATTATATCCTTTATTAATTAATTAATATTTTTAGTTTTATTTTATAATTAAGGATTGTCGGATGCTTAATGATCGTCTCACCTAAAAGTTCGAACTGTTAGGGAAACTCAACCATCCGCAGACGGGAGTCCCAACAAAGATGATTAAAAAATGTATTTTTATATTTTTAGTTTTATTTTATAATTAGGGATGATTAAATAATGTATTTTTAGAACTGTATCGATGATTCGCATAAGGAAATGTATTGAATTATATTATTTGTTCAATTCCTAAACCACATACAAAATCTATTAAAATAAATAATTCAGTTTGAATTTTCTCATTCAATATCAGATCCAGCTTGTGTATATATAAACCTATATATATTATATGATCAAAGTTTTGATGTTTTGTTTTATTGGCATTTTTGTATCTCTATTAAAAAATCTCTTCCTTTAGGGCTCTTTTTTTCTTCATATATTATGTAAATTACAAATTATAATCATAAACCATATACATATATATATATATATATTTATTCCCAATATATATATATATATGTAAATAAATATAAATAGGAGTTTGAATATGATCAAAACTACAAGTGATCTTTGATCACCATCTCATAATTATTTAAAGGATATGATTCCCATATTAATTCCCTTCACCATTTTCCAATCAATATACTAAAATAATAAATTAAAAAAACAAAAACATATATATATGATCGACTCGAGTCTCATTCATCATCGATGCTTTCGCTCCAATTCTTGATCGTATCCCAAATTGCTTGTTTCACCATCTGCGCATCAATGATGCTTTCTTCGTCGTCCTCATTCTGAATGGAATTTTTATTTTTTCTTTCTTTTCATGAGCGCGTTCGATCCATCAAATAAAAAATGTGTTCGAAACAAACAAACTAATTAATCAATATATATATGATTGAATCTTACATGATTTGGTCCACCACCAGCACCACCAATGGCTTGTAAATGGAAAGTGTGGGCACATGAAACCCTAGCTTCAAGAACATTGAGGCCCAGCTCTTCGAATGTCGCTAGTATCGACATCAACAATCCCGGGCAGCTCCTCTCTGCACCACACCTTATGTTCACTTGAAAGCCCCCACCATTTTCTAGGGTTTCTACACTCACTCTCTGCAAAACCACACACACATATACATATATATATATATCATTAATATGTATCTAATTATGTATGTATTATAAGAGGGTGGGGTGGGGTGGGGTGGGGACTTACAGGCCACATATTGTTTTGATGGACTGATGATGATGATGAGGAGGAGCTTTCTGAAGTGGCAATTTCCTGCTTCAATCTTTCTATTTTTTGTTTCAGCTCTCTTATGTAATTTGAGGCATCCATTACAATTGAGCTGTCATTTATCTGTACAAAATACCTCAATTTTGTTAATTAAAATTAAGGATAATAGACACCCAAACAAAAACAACAAAACTAACAACAACAATAATAATAACACCAATAAAGAAGAAGAAGAAGAAGAAGAGAACAAAACAACAGCAATGATGATAAGAATAATTTCTTGATATATGCATATATGTATTTTAGATGATTAATAATGATTAACATGTGGACAATCCAAACCCTAAAAGTTTGGGCAATTTTTAAAATCGTGTTTAACTTGATGAGATCCAATCAACCACACAATCATTTTCTTTATTTTTTTCTTCCAAATATTAGTTTGTATATTATAGCAATATATGTTAGTTATTAAAATATAACTGGGTTTTTAAAACCCTGGCCAAAGAATTAAGATGTATGTGAGTTTGAAGAATTTATCGATAGGTATGAGAACATGTAATCAAACTAGTGGCTCTTTTGTATGTAGTATATATGTTTCTTGGATTCCTTTTAGGTTAAAAATAAAAATAAAAATCAAACCGATCCCAAGATGCAAAGAAAATAAAAAAATGAGTTTGAATTTTAATAATCACTCTATGTAAAGAAAAAGTTCATATAAAATTTATGTGTATATAATAATAAAAAAAAGTTAATAAGAAACTTATCAATCAATACTCAAGATCCTTCATTTCGACAGATGAAGATGTATTTATATATATATATATACAGATATATATTCAAACTAATATAGAAAATCAACACAATCAAACAAAGAAATCGATTAATATAATCAAGAAGAGGTAAACTTAGTTATTACGGCGCGAGAGTGAGTAACCGATTGAAGAATCTGCAACTTATCGCGAAGCTTTGCTTCGGCTCTCTTGTGCTCCCTCGAAACCATTTGGTAGACGACCCTCGTGTGCTTTAATTTGCTCGAAGTTGTGTGTTTGTATCGATTAGATTAGATTAGATTAGATTAGCGGAGGTGAGGGCGGGGTGGATGGCTGGATGGATCCCTTTAAAGAGGGGATGCCCTCTCAAATCAGTGTCATCTTTTGTTTGATTCTCTCATCCAAAAACAAAATATCACCTTAACTTATGTGATACATAGCTCAAATGGATCACAAAATTACAATGTCTATATATATCTATATATATATATATAATAATTGTATGTGTAATAATTTGGTGTGAAACTACAGTATTGCCCTTTCCTCAAGGGAAAACTTCAAGCTGAAGTAGTGTTGGAATTTAGAAGTGCTGTATTTTAGGGGGTGTGTTTTAGGTTTTAATTTTTTTTTTAGGCAAATATAATTATTGGATGTAATGTTTTGAACGAAGAGTTAGTGTTGGATGTAACGATCATATGTTTACGGGAAAATGGTAAGAGTGGATCGATCGGAGAGGGATTTGAGTAAATCCAACAATATTAATAGTTTGTGTTGATCCTTTTATTTTATTTTTTTCCATTTCCAATTAAGATTATCTATCTCTTGTTAACTCATATTGTTGAGATATATTTCATATACTTGTTACTATATGTTATATTAGGTGGTTATTATTTCCATATATTTATTTTGTAACTTGCCTGATAATAGATTTATAATTTTGTTATTCAACATATGGAACTCAATTAGAAATTCTCACCAAATATATCATCATATACATACATATATATATATATATATAAATCATTATATACATGTATTTGTGTGTGTGATTTCAACTATCACTTGGTAAATATTTGTGGGTAGATGATGAGGATGAGGTGATATAAATTAGTCCTGTAAAATTGGAAGTGTTTCTTTTAGGGATAACATCAAGAAATGTGTTTGTGTTCAGTGGTTGTATATATATGTGTGCATTAATGTTCTGTACTTGAATTTGTCCGATTTGTACGTATGCATGTGATATATATATATATATATCACCTTATATATAAATTTTCAAAAGAGAAATTTATATTTTTGCAGAAGCTTTTTTTATTTAAAAAAAAAAAGATTCTGGGAATTGGGTTTTAGGGTTTACATAAGTTGATATTTAAAATGATTATTCTTAAGTGGCTTTTGAGACATATTTAGGACAGTCCTACTGTGTGACAATAATATTTTTGAATTGCAAAGTATTGAAATACATTTGCAATATTCTCACCTTGAAGTAAACACTACAACAAAAAATTATTTTTGTAACAATTTTTTTTTTGTTTTTAAATCTACTTTTTCCGTTACTAATGACATTAGAGACGGAATTAGGAATGAAATTACGTTTGCTACGTGAATTTAGGGACGGAATTCTGTTACAAATATATTATTTTTTTGTAGTGAAACCTAATAGGATATTTAATTCTTTTTTTTTTTTTTTTAATTGCTACATGTCAAAAAGACAAATAGTCTTTTTATGTTATAGTTGTAAAAAATTGAAATACAATATAATAATTATGACAAAATAGAGTCCAAATTTGTATCTAAAACCTATTTAGGTTTTGTGACCCAATCACTTAGTCCTATAATTTGGGAATGGTTTATACTGATCATGCAATATGTACAATTAAAAATACTCTCCATAGAGCATGAAGTGAATAAAATATAATTAAATTAAAAGAATAAAACAATTATATTAAAAATGGGTACTGTAGCATATATATATATATATAATATTTATAAATTATTGTTGTAGCAGATAGCAGAGAAGGAATAAAGAGCTCGTGATGATGGGCTGTATGTGAAAACACAGATGCATGGAATTATTAGGGCTAGCTGCTAAGTTCATGTATATATACACCAATTGTTTGTATCTTTTAAGTACACAAAAAAATTAAAATAAAATAAATAAATAAATAATTGTATGTATATATATATATATGTATATTTATTGAAAAAAGTGAAGGGAGTGGAAGCATCTAAAAATAGGTCCAAAAAGCTCCTCACGGGAGTTTTGGAGCATTCTTTAACAAATAGTTCTTGTAACTCGTTCGGTTTAGATATGTTTTTAAAATATTTTGGGGATTTAAATTATTTTAAATATTAAATATAATATTATGAAAAATGATATTATGATATTATTGTATTGATATTATTGGCTATTTGAATTGTGATTGTTGTACCTCAGTACATGAAATAATAATAATAATAATAATAAAAAGTAAAACTGGGATTTATATATATATATATATATATGTGGATTAATTATCTATTATTCTATCATTTTGTATTGTCATGGTTTTGATTTTGTAAGTTGCATTAATTTGTGATTTTGGTTAGACGACGCATGAAGTTCACGTGAATTTATAGAATCAGAACCCCAAATTATTGTGATTTACATGAGCAAAATAATAAGACAATGTGCAAACTGATAAAATAAAAAATTAAAATATATATACTTAAATACACACAACTAATGAGAAATTAATTACAAATCTTCAAGGAAGCCAAAAAAAATAAAAATAAATTATATATATATATATATACACACTTTTGGTTAAACCCTAAATTTTTAAATTTAATTACTGCAATATTTATCATTCCTAGAAAGTGCTTAAGTTTTTAAGGTTTGTTTGTCCAAAAAACTTTTTACTTCAACAATTTTCAATATATATTATATTCTTTCGTAAAATGTTTATATTTAATTTAAAATATTATTTTCTATATTTTACATTAAAAATAAGATAAAATTTCAAACTAGTAAGCTAAACAAACGACCTTAACCTTCATACATCTGAGAAAAAAAAAAAAGAAAAATTGGTTGAGAATTCTTAACATCACACACACACACACATATATATATATATATATATAAGGATTAAACTCGAAAAAGAAGCATGTAGAAAGAAAATTAAAAACTAAAAAAAAAGGCCCACAAATGTGTGTTGTTGTTGTTGGCTGGAGATGTCTGTAAAATAAAAATAAAATAAAATTGAATGAAGCTCGATGCCTGACAGACATATATAAATATATAGAATTTATGAATTTATTGCATCCTATGTGTGCATGCATTGAGTCATTACAAATATTATGATCACGAGATGTTATCGATCACAATATATATATAAATATATTTAGTTTGTGTGTGTGTGTGGAACATAAATAAATAAATAAAAGTAATTTATATATATATATATATATATATGGATTGTAGCTAGGGAGGGTTACAGCAACATTATATTGTCTGGATTGGTGGATGACAAAAGAAATCAGGTACCCACCTATTCACATGTTCACCCTTTCATCATCACAACAAAACAATCCCACTTTTCTTTTCATCTCAAACTTATATTACATTTATATATATATATATCTATATATATATCTATATCTATATCTATATATCCATATATATTTAAAATTTTAAATTAACTATTCGGATTTCATTAAACTTTTAAAAATTAATATTGCAAAAGAAGTAGGTTTTAAATATTATCTCACACGTTAAAGTACGATTGGTTTTAAATATGTAACCGGCTTCATTGATAGAAACTCGTGACGAATCTAACAAAAACTGTTGGTTGACTCCCTCATATATAAATAAATAAATTATTAGTAATACTAATACCTTAAAATTTTAGGTTAGACGATCATTCAACATCAATTAATTAATATAGTATCAGAGCTGGGAAATCCCGTGTCCAATGCTCCTATTTATCGTCGTCTGAATGCAAGATTCGTAAATACCATATACCCATCTTGCAATTTGTCTTGAAATATTGACTCGAACAAAAATTCCTAGACAAATTGTGTCACTAAATTGTTTTATGTATCCCTAAATTGTGTAGATATTATAAAAATAATAAATATATGTACTACGTAAATAATTTTTTGTAAATATTTTTGGTTGTAAGAACACAACCTTACTATTTGGCTGAATATTAATATGAGGATTAGATTATTTGTCTCAGTATTGGATACTCCAAATAGTCACGGGTAATAGTCATGACTTTGTATATATATAGTTTGATCAGGCAGTTTTCTTAAAATTATACTGCAAATTATGAAATGGTTGAATTAAAAGAATAATTTAAATTTGATTTAAATTCAAATATTGAAATAGATCCCACATCTTAATTAATTTAATTTGTTCATTATATTGATAACAATGGTAAATTAACATTATTCTATTCCAGTGTCACATCAATGAATGTAATCACTAAAGTGTATGTGTGTGTATACCTCCATATATAGATTGCCCAAATATATATATTTAATAAAAATAATAAGAATAACAAAGAAAATCATTATATATATATATATATAATTGACAATCCATGATTGCCACAAAGTACATGAGAATAGTCAATTTTGAAAAACCCTAGCATTTGAAATGATACCTTATTTGTACCATTAATGCATCATATTATAATGAATTTAATATCCACATTTAAGGGCCAAACATTTTTTTTTTTTAATGCATAATCTCCATATATTATTATTATTATTATTATTATTATTATTTTCCTTTTAAATGGATGATATTATATTTTTATGTTTCTCCAAAATAAATAGATAAATATATTCAAAATTGCTAAATATTTTTTAAAAAATTATACCATCCGTATGTAGATATATATTTTATAGTTATATGTATTATACAAAATTATACTATTTAAAAAATTATTTGTATATTGATCACATTTTATTGAAATATAATTTTTTAAAAATACTTTATAAATTTTCAATTTCTTTTTAATCAAATATATAACATCGTATTACAAAACCCATTCAATATCATTCATCTCATAAAAGAATCAAAACAAAACAAAACAAAAATCCTAAAAATAAAATAAAATTCCAAAACAAATCCAAACAAACCCACACATCCCCAGTTATTGTAAATTAGCTGAAAAAAAAAAAAAAACAAATCTAACAAAATATAATCCATGACTATTTAAAATATAATCCAATCAACTTGGCTATAGCCAAGTAGTGACATCCTTCCTTAGAAAGACTTGCATTCGGAGTTTAAATCCGAAATTTCCCAATAAAATGGGTGTGTTAAAAAATGTATATAATCCATCATCTAACATATAAATTT